TTGGCGTCATCATTCTGAATCCCCAACATAAATCATTCCTCCTTTCACCCAGTGCAATCAGGATCATGAATAGTAATAGACAGCAACCTCTTTTTATTTGTAGTTGGTTGACTTGTATGTGGATTCAGTGCAATAAGGACTTGGGTAGGAAAGCTTTGTTATCAATGGCCATAAGCAGTTAACCAGTTGAGGGTCTGGTTATGTTTTTATGTGAGCTAAAAGAGCTCAGGAAAGGCAGAGCTAGTTCTCCTGGATCTTAATCCCACTAACATGCTGGGTTTCCTTAGTCATATGACTTACCAAAATATTAAAGCATGTGCTTAACTTTACACACATGCTTAAGTTGCACTCAAGTCCATTAGAGTTTCTGTTGCTGCACATGGGAGATGCATCAGGCCATTAATTTCTGTGTGTGGTGGTGCATCCAAGTGTAAAATGGGTGTGGTCTTCCTTTCAGGGTGACTCTGGAATGTGCTGAATTGGGGTGTGCATGTGCTGATTTCATTCTTCTTTTTAACAATAGTTTTCTGAGTGGCTTTATAAAACCTCCTAGAATGTAATTCAGGCCTCCTGAGATAATCTCAGTTGGTACCTGGGTCCAGTGGCCCAAGACCTGGCCTGAGAGCTAGAGAATCATGTGATTCCACTTTGAGAGAGACGATGGTCTGAGGTCTGAGAAACGATGCACACGGAAACCAGGAGAGAGATGCAGTTAGCTCAGGAACAGGTAAATAGATCTAGAGGTACAGTGGGTGAGCATCTCTGCCTCCTTCATCAGATGCATAAATTTTATTTCCCTGACCACCTGAGATGCAGGTGAGAGCATCCAGCACATGATCTCGTCCTACTTTGTCCTAAGCACTTCAAGTCCTCTCGAGCTCTCCACCAATTCTTGTGCCTTTGCTTTGCTTTTTATTCCAGCCATTCTCTGTTTTCTTCCAAAGTGCTTTATTTTTCAGACCACTTGACATTGCAGGGAACTGTTGCTCCTTTTTATGTGGCGCATCCCCTTTATCGTGTTTGCCAGTCCCTGTCTTTTCATTATTGACACTGATTACTTTGGGGGGGAGGGGAAGGGTACCAGTGCATGTCTACACTTACAGGGCTGCAGTGGCACAGCTGCACCAGTACAGTTCATCTAGTGAAGACGCTTAATGTCGACAGAAGGAATTCTCCCATCAGCACAGTAAAAACCCCTTCGGTGACTAGCAGAAGCTATAGCGCTGTGCACGCTGGCACTGATGTCAGCATAACTGTCACTCAGGGGATGGTTTATTCACATCTCTGAGCAACCTAAGTTCTGACAACATAAGCTGTAGTGACATAGCCTGAGGCTAGAACAACTACACAGAGTCAAATATCAGTGGGATTAGGATGTGTGTAGAACACTGGGGTAGGTGCTGCTATGCAGCCAGTGTGTTGGCATGAAGGGTTGGGAGTAGACACCATTGAAAAACTTGTGGATGGGGAGACAAGACTAGTTATTACTTCAGATACCATCTCTGTTGCTCATCAACTTACTGAATCAAACACAACTGTCAGCAACCAAGTGACCCTTGAAATATCATCAGATCAGTAATAAGATTTTATTTAGCAGGGAACGGTCTTCAGCTAAATGTCAATACTTGGTTATAAAAAATTAAAAATCAGTATTTTGGGATTTTAAAGGACTGAGTTTTGCTGACTTGTCTCTGTTGATCATCACTAAATTCTCACTCAACGATCCATCACAGGCTTGTGAAAAAATTTTCTGATGATCTTTTTAAAATGGACCTGAACCTAAATCAAAGCCCTTATCAGCGCAAGTTGATTGTGATAAACTGAGAATGGAGACAGCAGACAGTGGAAATAAAATAGCCAGCAAAAATATCCAGCATCTGTAGGTGAAAACAATTCATATTGCTTAGTTGAGGTACAGGAACAGGAAACAATAGGACACAGATTTATGGTTGTTAGATTAATCTCTTTTTCTCTTGCTGTTCTTTTCCCCCTGCTCTTTTTTCTGTTGCTAGTCTCATTCTTCCTTACTCTGAGTACAAATTAAGCAGCAACGAGTAACTTTAAAATAGTTTATTTTTGCCAAAAGGAGCTGTCCTCTCCAGAACCTTTCACATGTTGATACTATATTACGAATTATTGTGTTATGTGAGCTAAGTGCCTGCAAAGGATGATAGCAGTCACTCTTCTCACCTGTTCAGATGATTTCCAAAGCTTATTTTATTTTCGGAGCTAGAGTAAGAGCAATGAATTTTCTGAGGTATCGCCATCTTTAGGGCAAATCACACACATAGTTTGGGGAAGGGTTGTTTGTTATGTTATGCCTCTTTTTTTGCTTCTTTCCGGTGTATAGAAAAGGATTGACCATTTTTTAAAATAAGTATTTCCTGTTTTTCTAGATTATAAATTGAAGTCTTGTCGATGTTGTTTCCTCAGGCGGACTCAACTGGCGAACATGATTGTGACATTTTAGATGTCATGAAAGTAAAACCTTATTAACCGAGAGGAAAACTGATTTTTCATCAAACTGTTTAAAAGTTAGATTTTCTCTTGCCCTTATTATTTATTCGTGTTCCAGTAGCATAACAGCCCAACTGTGATCAGAGCCCCATTGTGCAAGGTCCTTACAAATACATAGTAAGATGTACACCCTTCCCTAAAGAGTTTATATTCCGAATAAATAAGATGGGCAAGGGATAAGAGCAGAAAATATTACTGTCCCCATTTTATAGACAGGGCCCTGAGACACAGAGAATACCATCCCAAAGTCACATAGAAAGCTTATGGTAGAATTGGGAATTGAATCAAGAGCTCACAAGTCCCATCAGGCCAGACTTCTTAAACACACAGACATCACGACTGAGCCACTGGTTTTGTTTTAAAGAGTGTGGTTTATTGGACTAAGATATATTGAAATGTGATAATTAGGGATGAAGTTAGCCAATACAAAAATATTGTATGTAATGGCCCTGCAGTATCCTTCAGATGTGACTTCATGAAAGCACAGCAGTTGTCTCCATCTTTACCTAATTGTCATCTGCCTCCAGTTTCATTCTGCAGTCTTTATTGATGGTCCTAATGATATTGGACTAGCAGTGAGGCTGCCTGCTGTCAGCCTAAGTACTGATTTCCTAGCACTTAGCTAACCATGCCAGAATTGCAGGAGGCCCACTCATCATCATTCGGAGTGTAGGCTGCTTGTTCAGTTGGGAGGGAGGCCCTGAAGTCAGAAGGGCTTTGTTTTAGGCCTGCTGCTGCTGCAAACTTTCTTGTGAACTTGAGAGTCTTTTGAGGCCTGAGCCTCCCGACAGTGAGATCAATGGGAAAACTCCCTGACTTCAGTGCTGCAAAATGTGGCCCATAAGCTCTTGCGTCAATCTCTGTATTACCTGGGATAATATCCCTTTTCTCCCATGGGTTGTTGTATGGCTTAAGTCACTCATGCTGGTAACATGATTTGAGTATCTAATAGATGGTATTATACCCTAGGCAAGAATTATTTTAGGGTACGTCTAACTTATATTCTATTTTCGAAAGAGGATTTGCAAATTCCATGGGAATTTGCATATCTTCTTCTGATCTCACTTTCTAAAGTAGTCTGGATGCAGTTTTTTTTCGGGAAAAAAAAACCTTTTTGAAAAAAACCCGTAAACCTCATTTTTTTCCGGACGAGCGTTTAAGAGCGTTTTTTGTTTGTTTTTTCAAAAAAGGGCTTTTTTCCCCCAAAAGCCCCTGCATCCAGACTACTTTTGAAAGTGAGATCAGAAGAAGATATGCAAATTCCAGCAGAGCTTTCGAAAGTGAGATCAGAAGAAGATAATTTGCATATCCTCTTTTGAAAATAGAGCGTAGTCTAGACATAGCCTTAGACTCTGAGGACTTGTAAACAGTGTGTCCCAGACACAATTCATGTTCTATTCAGACCCATAATATATGTGTATGACCAGCACTGGAAAAGGGGTATTACTGCACCATGGTATCTATTTTACATTCCCA